AAACTACATTTATCTTTACATATAAGGTATACATAAAGAAAAATGTAAAACATAACAAAACATGGAAAACATAACTATAGAATCATAACATTTTGCATAAGAAAGATTTTAACTTTGCTTAGCTAAACATACTTGGGTCGTAGGATGTGGTGGACTAATGGATGCGAGATGCCATGAAGTGCCTTAAATATTTCATTTTTCTCATCTTTAAATTTCCTGTTTGTACTTAAAATAATATATATATTTATAAAAAATGACAAGTTTACAGAATCGACTAAACTCGTGTTCTGATACCACACTGTAACGCCCCGACCTGCATGGACCAAAACGTCACTAGATTAACTGTACTTTAGCTATAAATTTGTTTAACTTATTTTTAGTGGAAGGTATAAAGAATTAATTTTTTTTTATAATTTAATACTAAAAAAAATAATTTAAAAAAAAAAAACTGAATTCATTCATACCATATATGCGCTTTACATGTTGGATTAACGCATACTTTATATGCAACATACCGTATTTTTAGCATACCATATTTGTATCATACCGTATATGCATGTAACCACTATTGACGTGAAATCTTGCAAAACTTTAGAAGTAATATTGCTGTTTCAGTTTTTATCTCAAACAGTAATTATCAAAATAAATTTGTTTGCATAGCTATCGACCTCGAAACTTCATTAAATTTTAATTTAAAGTAGGAAATTCCATATAATATGACATAGTAAAAAATTAGCTTCCATTGGCATCATATGAGGTATTAAAATATTTTTTCAAAACCCAGCAGCAACCCGGTTGAAAGGTAAACCAGTGTAGTTAACTTAAAATGACATATAAAATTCCACAGACATCAAAACCACATGATTTCAAATTTATTCAGTAGCTAATCCATGAGACTATCAAATCCAATTGGTTTCATTTAGAGATTCCAAGTAATGGTCGAGTTATGAATTTTTGAAGTTAAGGCAGAAGCTAAAAAAAGGCGATTCTACCTAGTGCAGTTTACTTTATACAACATATAAAATTCTACGGATATCGGATTAACATGATTCCAAGTTCATTTGATAGCTAACTTATGAGTCTATCTAACGCCAATGATTTTGAATAAAAATGCCAAGAAATGAAGGAGTTATGTAGTTTTAAATACGAGGCAGAATCTGACTTTTTTTTAAAGAGACAGCAAAACTTTAGATCGCTAACATATTTTTTGTAAACGGTGATTTGTGAATTTATTCCTATGACACATATCTACTTTTAAATATAATTTATTCACAAAGAATGTTCGTAGAATAGATCCACACACGATATCTATAGGAATCTAATTTAAAGAAAACGTCAACATTTCATAATCAACTAAAGATATTAAATCACCGGCTTCTCCATGACATGTTGTATCTCTATCTGACATCATCCACGCCCCCAAGCAAGTCAAATCAATCTGTAGATAGGAAATTAACCCATGATTTTGAAACTCAATAAATGTTATCGGTGCATTTCATTATCAAACTAGAAATTTCGAACTATTAATTCATACTGTTGCACATAGATGGATTTCCGACAAAATCCAATTACCATAACATTATCATAACACTTAAAGTCGAAAAAATGATCATTCAAACTATTGTAGTGCCGAAACACCGTACCCGAAGGTACCATTTCATTCAAACATTTATCAAAAATCATAATTTGAAACGAAGTAAACACTTGCACCTCTGCCTACCTTGAATTTTCTTGGATATCAAAGAACAAATGTGTAGAAATTCTTTCTTCTTCTCACCCTTGTTATTCCCTTAGCTTAAATTGACATAAAAATTTATTTTTTTGTGAGAAAATAAGATGAAATTCGGATTTATGGAAGGATATAGTGAAAAAGTGACCTTCCACTTCTTGTAACCTTTCTTTTTAATGAAAAACTAAATGAGAGGAATTGTATTATCATTAAGTTTGTTAAATTGGGTCTTTAACTAAGAATTTGAAGAATTTTTAAGCCTAAAAAATTAACTCATAAATTTTTTTATAAAAATATTTACATGGTGATTCGAACCTAGGTTGCCTATACGAAATACCATGTAGATGACCATTGGGGCAACTCAGTTATTCATTAAATCTTTGTAATCAAATTTACTTAAACTTAATCCCTTAAATTGTTGGGCTTTTAATTAATTTATGGCTTGGGCTTTCAAAATCTTAAGTGGTTTGAGCTTCAACAACTTGTTTCTTGAATGAGATAGGCTCGTGGTGCTAGATTATCACAACATAATAGCCTAATTTCATTTTATTTCTCGAGCTTCTACATGTTGAGATATTTAACCACTAGATATTGTGTAGGATTCATCTATCACTGCACCCAGTTCTGGCTTACCTATGAAGAGGGCTCCTAGACCGGCCAAAGCTCTTCAATCTCCATACGTTGTCGTTGAAGGGAAACAAATAAAGCCTTCGGGACATGTAGTACCATTCAAACATTATAATCAGAATGTAGATGACCTTGACGTTGCGGACTTCCAAAATTGGTTCCAACGAGGCTACAAACCACATAATAAGTAAGCATGATTAGTAGTAAATTTATTACCTCAAAGCAATGAATCATTTTCGTTAGCTTGCAGGAAGAAGTTCAGTGATAAAGATGACCACATTCGTCCACCGTTCGTTGTTGGAGAGTTTATGGTAGGGAACAAAACATGTTGGTACGAACTAGTTTCAAGGGAGGTGTCATTGAGTAGCTCAGTATGTTGTCTACTACTTCCAGTAATAATATAGGTCGTGCTGTCACAATTTGTTATCATATTCGTGCTCACAAACCATATGCAAGGGTAACATACTCCGGTCAGAAACTATTTATGTACATGATGTTTTATATTGGTCACATTACATTGTTTCAAATTCAAAACCAGATCACTTTAAGAGCCATTATAACTATCACAGAACAATAAGGATGCAGTCACATAATATATAAAGTCATCATTTATATCATACGTCCTAGCCGAAGGTTATAGCATAAAACAAATTAACTCAACAAATACATTTGTTCACAATTGTACCATTCACATGTCAAATCTAAAATAAGTATTTCAATACGCATAGGTCACAGGGCATGAATAAGAACAATGTCATTACGAACATGTCACATACTAATGGCACCTCATGTTTCACTATTACTGGCTTTGATGCTTTGACTTATCTGTTCATTGTGACAGTATATGGATGTTTGCTTCTACTACATATGTCAATTGGCAAGAAATGGTCAAAATATGAAATAGTTGCTACGACAACAGACTCTTTGTTCCAAGCCAAGCTAAAGAACATCTACCCTAAATTCAAGCAAGATGCAAATGTGGTCCTAAACGATTCAAGCTTGCTAAATGACATTACAGGTGCACACATTCCATTGAGTGCCCCATGGTCTGATGTGGACATTGTGTTGTTGCCTATTTTGCCAACCAACAAAGCTCACTGGATGTTGGGAGTTCTCGATATAAAGAAGCAGCAGTTTCTTGTATTCAATTCATCCATGAAGACGTACAATAACATCAAGGCCCGTATTGGAACTGAACCATTTGTGAAAATTCTCCCCCACCTCATGAAGGGTATTGGAGTTTGGAAAAAAGACTCAGGTGCTCATTTGAATGATTCCATAGAGTTGGAGGTGCTACTAGACTTCTCACTTCCGCAGCAAAAGAATGGGTACCTTTGTGACTACAATTTTTTCATCTCAAAGAAGTAGATAATGGTCATCCTGTACCTAATTACATCTTTCTTCTTTTTCAATCATGAATGCAGCATTTATGTGATCAAGTATGCTGAGTATATGCTGCATGACGCTATAGGCTCAATGTCGACCAGATTTGATACTGGTAGAGCACGTCTAGATATAGCTTCGTTGCTATACAAGCATTGCGAAATCAAGAAGGAAAGAAACAAAGTGCATCGGACTAGGGGTGAAAGCATAGTTATTGAGTGATAGTTGATTCTCCTTTCCACTAATTGTTTTTGGATATGTATTTAGACTTAGTCATAAATTTTTGTTGGATGTAGTTATATTTCCATGGACAGTAGTTTGTATTGTATACAATTTGCTTGCTTCTTGGTTGTGTTTATTTAATTTACAGTGATGATATTGAGAAATTGGAATCTACATTGATTGAGCATTGTAGTTCTGGTATGTGTGTAATGTTTAAGTTAGAGGTCACACGTATTCTTAAATAGTCACAGGAGTGTCAACACTGTCACAACACATTTGACGGACGAGTTTTTACACCGTTGTAGGTTTTTGATCATGGTTGCTTTACAAGTCACATATGGAATAATAGTGTCGCAGCTACTGTGCATGTTTGCTTCTCAGGTCCCAGATTTCAATATAAACTTGTATACACAATATGTAACCGTTTTGTTGTTGAAAGTCACAGATTCACTTGTGCCCGACAGTGTAGGTCACAGATGTCTGTTTTCTTTGTCACATCATACCTATCATTCGGTCACAGATATATAGCCTCACGAGACATCACAGTTTGTGATACTATGCTATCATGTGAAACATTAACAAGGATTCACTAATTTCGTTCACTCCACATGTCACAGTTTCTATTGTCTGAAGTCACGGGTTAATGTGTGCGAGATCATTACAGGTCACAGATTTTTTTTCTGTTATTTTCTCATAGGATTTTCTCACTCGGCAAGGTCTGTTGTGTCACTACACATGTCACAAATTCTTGACATATGTTCCATTACGTTTTCATGTATATTAACGAGAAGTCACTGATTGATCTGTGACTGTCACATAATATTTTCGGTGCTTGCAGGAACGGTCACAGATGTTTGTAAATTTGACAAAAGCCTGTCACATACAATTGTTGACTTGTCACGTGATATTTGTGCATGTCAAAATAAAACATCAACTTCATCATCGGTCATATAATATTGACAACACCTTTATACAAGAGATGTAAAAGAATAAACATTTATTATGTATGTCATTTAACGAAGATCGATGATTCATAACATTAAAAAATTAGTCCATATAGATCAATGCATAACATCAATTGCCTTTCTTTTCCTTTCTCTTGGCTTTGACTTAATGGAACTAAGTTACTGCAGGTACGATGGTTGTGACTACGTTCACCACAACGTTCGCATTTGATAACTACGGTTTGTTCACACACTGATCTAAATCTCTTCTCCGTAGGCCTTCCACAACTGCGCTTTTGATTAGGTGTCAAAATAACCATTTCTCGAAAATCTTCTGGCACGGTCCATTCAGTTGGGTTCCCAACAGGAAATATTGCTTCTTGGTAAGTTTTCTTGTATGATTCTGTTGTGTAATAGTAGGAACAGTACTCATATGGATCCATCTTCATACTAGCAATCACAGCCAATGAGTGTGGACACGAAAGTCGATCAACCTGAAGCATCCGACATGTGCATGTATACTGTTCTATATCGACAACGAAAGATGAACTGTCACCACTAACGCAAAACATTGCCTGGTTGACAGGATTGGCCTGCAATTAATTTAGAAAGTTATATGTGCAAAATGTTATATTTGACAAAAAGATCACAGACAATGAAAACCATGCGATACACTACGCATTTCAATAGTTATACAAATGGAGATTAGTTATAGCAAAATACATTACCCTTAAGTTCCTCATATCTATGCTCATTTCTCGTAACTGTCTCTCGTACTTGTTTGATAACTTCGTGAACGTACCATGTGCGATCTCTCTATGTTTGTAGAACCAAGACTATATCGTTTGTCGTTATGACTCCAGCAACACTATAATTGGATAGTTCTTGGTGGACTTTGTGACCGCATTAATCGACTCTACTATATTTGAGGTCATTATGGAATACCCATTTGTGGGCATGTGGTATCGTGACCATTTCTCAGGTCCAACATCATCCTACAAACACAAAGACATAACGTTGTATATAATATATTTTCACAGCAGGGAAAATGTGTTGATACTAATAAATTGCAGATATTATGTATTTCACATACCAAGTAATCTGTCATGTTCTCATTAATTGTAGCAAGCCATTGCATGTAATATTCGTATTCCGACAATGTGTAAGCTCGCACGGTTGCATTAAACGACTGTGCTATGTTGTGACTTGATTTTTCGTAACGTGTTTTAAGATTTTGTAGGAGATGATATGAACAAGTCCCATGATATGTTCTAGGATAGACTTTTTCAATGGCATTTCTAATACTGTTGTGACGATCCGAGATGAAGCATAACCCTTCTTTACTTTCGTAAGCTCGCTTCAATTATTGTAGAAACCATGTCCAGGAACTATCATTCTCATTATTCCCAATTCCGAAAGCAAGAATAAATATGCTGTTGTTTGCATCTTGGGTACAAGCTGTGAGTAGGGTTCCATCATAATGTCCATTCAAATATTTCCCGTCTATCACAACAACAGGCCTACAATGTTCGCATCCATGGATTGATGCTCCAAGTGCCATGAAGCAATATTTAAACCTACTATGACTATCCAGCTCTATTCTTGTGACCGTCCCTAGATTTGTTTGATGCAGTATAGAAAAGAATCTTGGTATCTTGCGAAATGAATTCGTTGGATCACCTCTAATCATTTTTAGAGTCTCCTCACGAGATCTCCAAGCCTTCACATAGTATAAAGACATTCCATAAGTATGCAACATATCATTTCGTATATCATTTGGAGTGTATATAGTGCGTGATGATGTGTATTTGTATTTAAATAGGAGGATACAACCGATTTCGTTACTTGCCTGTGACACTCCAGAACAATATTCGATGCACATGTGTGTCCATCTGCAATATGCCTTATTTTAAAAATCTCCATTTTTTCCAGCTTCGATGATCTACAGATCCAGTTACACTCGTCATGTGAACACTTTACAAGTTAGTCTTTCTTGTCGAATCGAACAACAACATATTCAAACATATTATGGATTGCATAAAAGGACAAGCTCAGCTTCAAAACCTCATTGTTACGGAAAACTTGTCCTTTCTCGACATCCCTGCCATCTGCGACCGATGCAACTGTGACCTCATGTTTGAAACTGTCACATGCTGGATGTTCTATTGCTCCACATATATCTGACGACATTTCAAGTAACGAAAATTCATGTTCATTATACAGTACATCACTCGGTACTGTGAATTGATGTTTTCCCATTTTTGTTTCTGTGACCTCAATGCTAATGGGATATTTGGAAGGGCCACGATTCAAGTCTTTCAACGCCATGTGTAACAACACGTTACTGTCACTCTTGATTACGATCGGAGGTAGGTCACTCCGCAACATACTTCGTTTTAACTGCCGCATTGGTGGGATCCAATCCAAATTTTGTCATAACAGTATTTACAAGCTTTGCATACGGGCAATTACGATCAACCAAAACCAATGAAACTTGCGATCCGTTTAATAAACAGACGTGGACGTACACCATTTCTGTGAAGTCAAAATTTACCAATTTCAGTTACAATTCTTAATTCACGTCAAAATAAATGTTAAATCACTCCATTGCAAATGAGATGGAAAAAAAATAAGCTTTGATTTGCTTGAATGCCATGTGTAATGCCTATTATCTTGTCTGTTGTAGGTCACACATTTTTAAGATACCTTTTCACAATATTTTTTTCATACATTACGGCAATAAGTTTTTATCCTTAGTCGCAAATGTATATTGTCACACCACATATAACAGATTTTTCACTTACATCACATTAAACAATCAAGTAACGCTCTGAAAAAGTCACGTGTTGCCAATGATACGTCAAGTATTTTTTTCAGGCGATATCAAGATAAGCCATTGTTTTTCATCAAATAAATGCATGGGAGGTCACAACTCAATGTCGAGACAGGTGACAGACATAGATCGATATAATTTATATACATTTCCAGATCAGTGGGCGTGGGGAGGGAGGATGTTTGGTGGGGTGGGGTGGGGTGGGGTTTGGCAGATTAATTTAATTCGATAAAATTATTATTTAAAATTAAAATATTGAATTAACACTTGATTTTTATATTTTTAGACTTAATGTCTGAAAATTGATTTGATTTTTTCCCAATTTTAAATTAAAATTGGTCATGAGCACATTAATGAAGTTAAAAAATTTAAATTAGAATTGATCAAAATGGTAAAATCGGCACTGGTTCATTAGTTTATGGTCAAATTGGCCGATTCAACGAGTTTTAAACAAATTTTGTTAAAGCCAATTAATTGGACGTGACTGACCTGATTTTGGATTTGGTTCCAAGTTCTACTGGTCGAATTGGTCTGGCCAGACCGATTTTAATAACTTTATTTTATGCTTCATTTCGCCAATTTCAAACTTTAGGCAAAAAAATATAGTTTGGTTTATAAGGAGTAATAATCAAATTCAAATATTTCTCGAAATCTAATTACATCTTTTCCTGTTTGATTACAAATTATTGTTTTTTGTGTTAGCGAATGATGCACTGATACTTTTTGAAATGATTCAAATTTAGATTTCGATAGTTAAATACTGAATAAAATCAAATCGAACTGTTTACCAATTTTAAAAATTAGAACATTTCTCGTTCTACCAAATATATTGATTATTATTCCGATTTATGCTTGTGGCAGCTTTATTCAAGAAGAAATTAATTCCTCATTTTTAGTTCATTTTTATCCTCTTTACAACTACAATACATTTTCTTGGGTCTTATACTCAAAAAAGTTCTTGGTTTTTACGTGACTTTGAAAGGGTTAGAATTATGTTAGATATACAATATTCTTTGTATTTTCTCTCCATTATTAATAAAATATTCGTTTCTCTATCACATTAATTTGTTTTTCTTGTGTTGTGATTGTTACTTCTTATTATGCAATATAATCTTGTTACTTCTATTCCGAGCAAGTCGTATCATTGCTTAACGTTTGATTTTATTTATTTATTTTTTTTGTGATGACAACCTTGAAGTATGATATTTTGCTTTGGGTTGCAGCACTGGATTCTTGCTATGATAGGTAAAAATGCGAGTAGTGCTTGCTCAAATGGAATTAGACGACTTTTTTTGGGATTTGACAAAATGTCATCAAATTGGTTGATAGAAAAGAAACAATGTAAGGCTCAAAAAGCCCTGTCACAGATTCATATTCATCTTTCAAATCATATTCTTTAGGACGTTTTAAAGGAAAAAACAATAGCTGCCTTATGGTTGAAGTTAGAACAATTGTGCATGATTAAAAGTTTAACTAGCAAATTGTACCTGAAGCGGCATTTGTGTTCTCATCGTATGATAGAAGGTACATCCTTAGAAAATCACCTTACTGTCTTCAAACAAATTGTTGCCAATTTGAAAATATTGGAGTTAAGTATGATGAAGAGGACTTGGGTTTGATTTTATTATGTTCATTGCCCGCTTTATATATGTCTTTTAGAGAAATAATATTATACAATTGTGATACTCTCACCATTGAGGAAGTTTATAATGCTTTATTCTCAAAAGAGAAGATAAAACATCTCGTTGGATCTGAGGTTCATGGAAAAGGCCTTGTTATTTATGGTGGTTATGAAAGAAATAGGATGAAGTCAAACTCCGATAATAAAGTTTGTAACTACTGCAAGAGGGGGCACATCAAGAAAGATAGCTACAAGTTGCAGAATAGAGAAAATTTGGTTCTAATTAAGAAGGAATAGCAACAAGAAACTTCAGGTGAAGTGGTGGATATGAAAAAGGCAGTTCGAAGTCTAACTCTTATAATAAATTTCGTTACTACTGCAAGAAGACGGCGCATACAAAAAGGATAGCTACAAGTTGTAGAATAGAGAAATTTTAGCTATAATTAATAAGGAAAAGCAACCAAAAACTTCAAGCGAAGTTGATGTTGTAGAAAAAATTACTATAGTGATGGAGAGGTTTTGGTTATTTCTAATAGCAACTTCAAACCTAACAAAAATTGGATTCTTGATACAACTTGCACTTTTCATATGTGTCCCAATCGGGATTTGTTTTCAACATATAAAACAGTTTCAAAATGTGTCATGGTAATAGGTAACAATGAACCTTATAAGATAGCTAGTATTGGAATAGTCATAACTAAGATGTTTGATACGATGGTCAAATCACTTGAGGAAGCTAAGGCATGTCCTGATTTTGAAGAGAAATATTTTCTCATTGAGTACTTTTGATTCAAAAGGTTACAAGTTCACCGACGAAGGTGGCTCGGAAGATTTGTAAAGGTAACCTCGTTGTGTTGTAGGGACAAAAAAGGTCCCAATTATATATTTTGCAAGGTTGTGCAGAATCTTTGAAGATCAATCAGCCAAGATTTAGTACTTGGTAGATATTTAGGGCTTGTTCGGTAGTGATTATGATAATTGATTTTTTGATTGTTCGAGTCACATTTGTGAGTGAAGAAGTAAAAAATTATGGTTGACTATGTTAAGTAACGGTCAAAAAATTAATTTTTGAGGTGAAAAATCAAAACCAAACGAGGGGTTAGTTTGGTACAATATAGTTGGATTTGGTTTGGGGTCCATATTGAAGAATACAGCTCATTCAAGTTCAAAAGTTATGGATAATGCGACTTTGCCACTATCACCGTCGGTGCATAGTATTCAATTGCTAAAGACTGATCAAGGAGAAATATTAGACCCTCATAAAGGTACGAAGAAGTTGGTTTAGTTGCGTGTGCTTGAAGTGTGGTTGAGGTATTGAGTCTAGTAAGGAACTTTCGACAAAAGCATTTTGTAGTTTTGATTCTGTTTCAGGGTATTTTTCCGGGCTATTTTGGTAATTTTTGAATTATTTGTGATTTTGTTGCATGTGGTGAAAATTCAAGCAAAATTTGGCACCCGAGGTAGGCCTGGTTACCAGTGCTTGGATTCAATTGATTTGATTTGTCCTAGTTGAATTTTTGGAAGATGGGGAGAATTTTGCTGGAGAGTTTTTAAGAATGAAGAGTCAGTGGTTTATCCTTGCAGTGAAATTTTTCTTCAGATGGACAATTTTTGAAGTTTCATTTAGTGTATTGAAATTTGTATCAAGTTGGAG